CCTGCTGGGGAAGGGCTGCCCCATTGGCCCCCAGGGGCCTGGAGAACTGATTCTGTCTCCTAATTAGACACAGACTGAGGGCTCAACAGACAGTCCTAGAGAATGTAGATTTTAGGATTAGAAAAGACATCTAAAGAAGTTTGATTTTTTTTAACATGGAAATGAATGATTTTTAATTCATGTAGAATAAATAGTTTCCTTTGTGGTCCAGTGCATTTCATAATGCATCTTCCCTAGGAGTTTTTGTTTTTGTTTTTTTTTGACAGGTCAAGGTCTTGCCATTCATGGCATCTCATTCTGAGCAATTATTTTGCTTAATTAGCCCAGTTCCAAACTTTCTTAACTATGACTGTTCCAAAGAAAGCATATGGCCCTCTTAAAGTTAGGGATTCAAAGTGTTTTCCAAAAAACTAGAAGTCATTTACCCTTCTGGATTAATAACTATTTTTGGTACTAGAGAGTGTTTATAAGTACCTTTTCTACTTCCCGAGTTTTTGACTTGTCCTCTCTGAGCCTTCTTGTAAAGGGAGATAAGATTTTGGGAGTTTTGACCACATGGCTATTCATTTATTTTGTTTGCAAACATGAAAAAAATTCAAGAATTCTTTCATTGTATGAAGATATAGTAGCAGCCTAGATGTAGTAGCAGCTCTGTGTCTCTGCTGATGATTATGAAATTCTTTCAGCGTAAATTTCTAAATGGTTTCTCTGTGATAAACTCTGGAATTAGGATAGCTTAGGCAATGTTCCAGCAACAGCCATAAAATCTGAGACTTAACCCTAAAATTTTAGCTTTCCCCACATTATGGTTGAATGCAAATTGAGTAGCTCTTCTCAGTAGCTCCTCTTCAAATCATGTTGGAGGAATAAACTGCATCCATCTTGTAGCTGTGCCATCTGGAGCAGGTGGTGCCCAGGTTTGCTATGAAAGAGGAGCTTGGATAATCGTGCAGAGATTTTAACGGTCATACTAGAGGGGCAGACATCACTTCCCCATCTCTCAGAGCCACAAACCGGCCCCTTGCCCTAACCCAGCTGCTGGGAAGCTGCTAAATGGGGTCTATTGTGCCAGGAAGGGAAAGATGGAATGGCATTTGGTGGGTGCACAGCATTATTTCTCCCACAGTTTCTTTATTGACCTGATTCTTGGTTTGTTTGCCATTTTTAAATAGACTTTCTGTTTCCTTGCTGTTAGAGTGCAGCATCCTCAAGTACTTTCCCTCACCCTCCACATTTTGATTAAAATTGCATCCATTCTGACTTATAGTCCATGTTCTTTTTAGTGGTGCAGATTTACTCTAAAGGTGCAGAGTGGGTGGATCCGAGTTTCCTCACTCAAATTTGTCCATCCTCTTCCACCCAACTTTGAACTCCAATCCTTCAATTATCCCTGTACCTCTGAAGGCCACCTGTTTCTCCCTTGAGAACCTGTGTGAGAAACGTGGTATGTGCAGAAACTCCCTTTTATGAGTTCCTGAAAACCAAGCATCTGACCGGCTGATGAACAAACTAAAATGTCAGTTTATGTTTACATCCACACTTAAGTGGATCATTATTGTCATGTCAGAATATTGTTTCCAACAGGAAATTCTACTAGGGACATTGAAGAATGCGAAGATGTCCTGCAGGACACCTGCCTCAGGGGTTGCCAGACAGCTCGCCTGCAGACAGACAGACAGATAGCCAGCCAGAGTACCTGTTCTTTTTCATCTAGCTGTGAAAGAACAACAGGACCACATAGTTAATCATTTTCAGTCTTCCTTTTTCTGTGTTGTATGTCCCTCATCAAAAGTCCTATTACTTTAACACGTTTTATAACTAATTAGATTACATTTCTACTGGCGTCACCTCACTTTCAGGGAGATTATACTATGTAAGGGTGATGTGACTAGTCTTATGTCCATGTGCTGATTTTTCTTGGTTTCCATTCGAGAGAGTTGCATTCTTCACTCTGTTTCCCCAGCATGTGGTATAGCCTACTATGTAGCAGGTGCTGGAAGATGTCTGCTCCCCTGGTGGACATGGACCAAGGGCCTGCTGTGCCCCAGGCAGTGTGCCAGGCCCTCGGTATGCCGCGATGACTGAAAGAAGCAGTTTCAAGGGAGGGAGGGCTGTGGTCAGGCAGAAAGAAGGAGTGTAGCAGATGTGGGTGTGTGCACTCTACAGGAGATGGGAAAGTGGGGTGGCTGTGTTTCTGTTAGTGTCTGAAAAGTAGCTGTTTTCTTCTTTGAGATTCTCAAATGCAAGAGTTACTAGAAATAGGTTTGGCTCTGAGTGAGAGTCTCTTTAAGAGAGAAATAGAATAATTAAAATGACCTTTAGCAGATTTGATAATGAATGGTTAAGATACCTTTCTCTATTCTTTTAATGACAAGCAAAAACAGTGGTCTAAAATAACTTTGTTTCCAACAATTAGACGTGCTCCAGTGGTTGTGTGGTTGAAAAATTTGAAAATAATGAATTGCCTGCAGAGAGATGCAGTTAGGATTCCTCTGGAGAAACCTCTCTACTTTCAGTGCTGCAGAAGGTTTCCTCAGAGAAGTGTTCCCACCCACACCCTGTTTGTGCATTTTCACAGTGCTGCTGGCTGGGGTAATGGATGAACAATGACAGAATCTGTTTCTGTCCCTAACAGGAATTTCGGTGCCTAGAGAGTTACGTATTGCCATTACTTTCACCATTACTTAGATTTTTTTAAAAAAAGGAGTGGACCTACCACGATTTAGACGTAGAGTCAGCAGTTGATAAGCATTGGGCTTACAATTTTAACAGGAAAGCATGTCTAAGGATGTTTATCCTTTATTTCTATGTTATGAAGACTGTTCTTAGCTGGTTGCACACACGAGGCTCCCTGTTAACTGCAGATTGGCTCCAATTCAACCCTTTCCAGCTCTGCTCACTGGGTCATTTTCGAATGCATGGGGTACAGCTTGCAAAATGAGGCAAAAATCATAGCCTCCTCCTATTCTTCACTTAAAGAAGTAGTGTCCAGGTTTCCTAACCAAAGAACTTAGTATTCAGCAGAAATATAGAAAGTCAGAAGGTCTGAGCAGAAAGAAACTTGAGAAGTCTTCTCCTCCAGCCCTTCATTTTGTTGAAGAGGAAACAAAGACATAAAATTAAGGTGCATGACTGGTTCAGATTAGGACATACCATTGTCAATCAGCTACAACTAGGGTTAAATGAAAGAATGCTTTTGTAGCCCCCTAAATAGTGCCTGGGCATAGTAAGTGGTCAATAAATGCAAAGTATTGTTATCATTCCCAGTGGCAGAACCCAAATTAGAACCCAGGTGCCCTAATCCAGGGCTCTTCAGGAGACACATTTGTATTCTCCACATTGCATAGGGAACCATGTGTTTTAGAGCTTGAGTTAAAGGAATGAAAGAGATAGCCACAGTGCCCAGTAGTGAGCCTTAGTGCTAGTTATGGGTCATGGCTACCCTTACAGTGTGCTATGAGGTTCACACCTTGACCATCTTCATTTAACACATGTCAGGGAGCTTGCCCATGGTCGCACCACAGAGAGGGGCTGGGCTAAGGTTTTATGCCTGGCTCTGCCTGTCTCAAAATCTGTGTTCGTATCCATTATTTTATGTTAGGAGTTGGCCAACTGCAGCCCACAGTACTAAATTCAGCCATACCTATTTTTGTACAGACTGCAAGCTAAGAATGTTCTTTACATTTTTAAATGGTTGGAATAAATTTAGAGAAGAATGATATTTCATAACACATTAAAATTGTGTGAAATTAAAATTTCAGTATCCATAAATAAAGCTTTATTGGAATCCAGCCACACTCATTTGTTTACATATTGCCTGTGGCTGCTTAGGTGATAAGATCCGAGTAGCTGCAGATATTTAATATCCAGCCTGCTTTGAAAACAGTTGCCAATGCTTGTTCTTCCCCAGTAATTATATTTTATGAAATTTCAACTATTAGGATATAATTGTAGGATTTTTAAAATAGGGCCTGTCTCCTCCCTACTTGAAGCTTAGTTTGTCCTATTTTAATTGGCATACAAGGGTTGATCAAAATATGTGGTGAATGTTTAAATAAAATCTGTTGCAAGTTAGGTGTGGTAGCACATGCCTGTAATCTCAGTACTTAGGAAGCTGAGGCCGGAGGCTCACCATGAGTTCAAGGCCAGTCTGGGCTACAGGTAAGTTCAAGACCATCAGAACGACATAGCAATACCCTGTCTCACCAAAAACAAAAACAAAAACAAAAAACAAAACAAAAAGCCACTATTGCATTAAAAACCACATTGCCATTAATCCTTCTCAAAATATTCGCTTCACTTCAAACACACTTATCCAATTGGTCTTGTCACTCTCTGAATCAGTTCTGGAAGTTCTCTTTCATGAGTATCTTTACATGGTGTGATAAAAAATACAGTGAATGCTGCTTCCAAGTGCCATCCAGGGGAAAGGCAGGCTCTTAGAAACAGTATAGTATGTCCTCATCCACCCTGCTCATTAGATATGGGACCATATGACTTCTCACTCTTGGCCAAGGTCAAAATAACCATGAAAGGGAAATGTTTTGAATGGATTCAGAACATCTGGCAGTCACAGAGCACAACTAAAGACTCATGAAAGAGGACTTCCAGAGCTGCTTCAGACGATGGCAAGAGTTATGGTATAAATGTGTCTGAAGTGAGGGGCAGTATTTTGTAGGGAATTAGTGGCAGTGTGTCTTCTACTGTAATGCATTTTTAAACTTTAAACATTTACTATATTTTCTAATGACTTTATATCAATTAGATCCTGAATATAAGGAGTTACCCTTAAGTTGTCTATGTCTTTTATTTTTCTTTTAACAGACAGAAATGATTTGTTACTGGACAATGTTTGAGACTCTTGATGGTAATCTGTTTTTGTACTAACTGAAGACTGAAACCACATGCAGTCTGCACGCCCCTCACATCCGTTTGTTGAGCTGTATCTAAATCTCCATTGTGTTACATGCAAAATCACTCTATTTTCTTTTCCCTTATAGTGGCTTGCTGTCTTCTGATTACGTGGAGATTCATTATGAAAATGGGAAACCACAGTACTCTAAGGTACGGTTGAAAGTGTCTGGAAACCCTGTAGTGTAAGTATGCTCATCATAGAACTGACAGTGGAGTCTGCATTGTTCTCATGTCTGTCTCAGTAGAATCTTGTATAGCACCCCTACACAACAGTGCTATTTTTATTGAGAAATTTTTAAAAATTTACAAATATCTGAGATAATCCTAGAGATTCTATATATTCAGAACAATAAATATTGTTTAGGTTATGTGTGTAGTACTTTACATAGTGGTATAAAGAGCTGCATAGTTCCATAGCAGCACCTTAACATACAGGGTGAGTGTCCCTTTCCTGCAATGCTTGGGACCAGAAGTGGAGTTTAGGGGGAATTTTGGAATATTTTCACAAACATAATGAGATACTATGGGGGTGGGACCTGAGTCAAAACACAAAACTCATTTATGTTTCATATACACCTTATACACATAGCCTGCAAATAATTTTATACAACATTTTAAATAATTTTGTGCACTAAACACCGGAATTTTCCACTTGTGGTATAATGTTGGCTCTCGAAAGGTTTCAGAGCGTTTCAGACTTCCCAGTTTTCAGCTTAGTGATGCTCAGCAGGGCTCTCCCAGTCAGAGTATCTGAATCTTAGCACTGCATGGCCTATTAGAGTGACTGTTTTGTGCAAGTGACTATAGGGTCCAAGAGGGACAAGGGTCCAATATACAAGGGACTATAGGGTCCAATGAGGGAACAAAGCAAAGTGGGGAAACATCATGGAATGTGTTTCCTTGGAGATGGCCAGTGAGAGTGTTGGGCAAAAGTGGCACCTTTCATGTGTGGATCTGCTGAGTTCTGCTGCAGGGAGAACCAGGAATTTCGATCTGTAGCCTCTGAGCAAATATTCATAGGTGATCTAATTGTAAATACTGCCCAGGAGATCACGATGTTTCTCAGGATTTATAACTATCCACTTAACAGTGGGCACATTTGTAACTTGAAGTATGTTTCAGACTTTGTTTGAATGGTATGCCATGGGTTCAGAATGTTGGTGTAATAGTCTTACTATTTATTAGTTCTTGCCATAGGCTGCATCCTGAGGGGTGTTGAATCTCCCTAAAGGTTAATGCGGTGCAAAGTGAGTAACAGTGCGAGATCAAGTGTGGGGATGGTGCTTTCTGGCATTTGTACAAACCGCAGCTTCTGTCAGCTGTGCCAGGCCCTGCACACTGCAGATGCTGAATCATGAAGCTGGGTAGACGATGCGACTGCAGGAAAACTTTATAGACTCAGCAAATGAGCCACCGTGCCACCTCGCAGGCTGCAATAACCTGATCCCAGCTTCTCACCAGGTCTAGAAGCAGATTAGCTAATTGGCCTCCAGAGGTCATTTGAGGTCCCCAAAGGAGGCCTTATCATTAATAAGACACTCCTGGCCTCCTACTGATTGCAGTGAAAATTTACAACAAAATATATGTCAGTTCTGGCAAGAGAAGATGTGTTCACCACAATTAGTTTTTTTGTTCTTTTCTTTTATTTATGACCCATTTTCCCCCATAGCACATATACCCAAACTTACTTGCTTAATAGACAATGAATTAATGGCAACAGCTTGTTTTTCTATATGTCTGTATTTATGTATGCATCCTAAACCCCCAGGATAACATAGTATACACAAGTCTGTAGCAAGATTTTAAGATTATAATGATAACAATTTAGTATGTGTGCACAATCTTTTAGACTTTTATTTTAAAAACTGTGTAATATTCTAATTCTTTTCTTTTTTCACTATTGATGACGCAAGTATTGAGCACAGGACCTCACAGATACCAGGCAAACACTCTAGCCTGAGCCATATCCGCAGTGCTTCTGATTCATTTGTTGTAATTTAAAAATCTTGTAGAAATGTAGATTGTTTTCTGTTTTTCACTGCACAAATAATCCTAAGAAAAAGCATTTCAGGTACATGCTAAACACATCCTTAATAATTGCTTAAGGATTAATTTTGAGAATGGAATTTTTTGGGTCAAAGAATTTGTACATTTTAAAAAGACTTTTGGCATTTGTGGGCAATTTTTTTTCAAAAGTTGGCATAAATTCACACTCCCACTAACATTATATACATAGACTTAAAACCATTTTTAAAATAAACTTACAAAGGTTGCTTTCCATACTGTTTAAGAGAACCTTGCTATAGGGTACTAGGAAAGGGAATTGATATGTCAGAATGACTAGGTTAAACTTGTTTTTACATATTACACAATTTTTCTTCCCAAGATCTCTAATTATATAGAAAAAGTGCATGTGCACAAAACGCATCCACCTGCCAGCATCACACAGAGTAGTTTTCACACGATTGGAGAAGGATGGAGTCACCAGAAGCCTATTTGGCTTTGAAGTTAAATGTAAATGTAGACACTTTAAATATTCTGGGAATTGGTTGCAAATAAAATGATGTCTCTTCTCTTTAAAGAGAATTATCTAGATTTTTCTGCTTTGCTACCAGCAACCCCTTGCCACAGTAGTTAACAAGAGGTTAATGTCTTGGCTTTTACTTTTATTGGATGAACGTGAGCTTAAAGACTCGTTTCTATGCATTGTAAATATAGGAACTAGAGAGGTTAAAAAATGTGGTTTATATTTGCGTTTCCATAATGATTAGTGGTGTTGAATACTTTTTTATGTACCTATTGTCCATTGTATTTCTATCTATTTATGTCCTTTGCCCATTTTTAATTGGGTTATTTACTTGCTTTTGAGCTGAATTCCTTGTATTTTTTGAATGCTGACCCCTTATTAGATACACGATTTGTAAGTATCTTTCCTCACTCTGTAAGCTGTTTCTTTATTCTGTTGGTTGCTGTACAGAGCTTTTAAGTTTGATGTGGTCACACTTCCATTAAATCTCTTAGATGAGCCATAGTTCATATTTTTAAGCAACTACAAATACTTTGGTTTCTTTTCTGTGTAAAAGAGACACTATCAACTGTCCAGCAGTATGTGGACCGAATAGATGGATGAAATCTATTCCAGTTTCCCACTATCTTATTACTCTCCATCAGTACTGGGTGGGGAAAATCTCCTTTTCTAGCCTATTTTCCTACCCTGGCTTCATTTAGTCCCCTTGCTCATTTTACGCATGGAAGGAAGAACAAATAAACTAGTGGTAAGGAAACTGAGCATGTCTCTGCAGTTTCTTCCCATGGTGGGGGGAGTATGACCCACCTAGGTATAAGAAGTGAATATTCTTTCTTCTGTACTATGCTTCCATTTGTATGGTGGCAGCCCCTGTGAGTTAAGAGGTGAGGGACAGAGTGTTTATTGGCTGTGCCTGGTGGGTCATTCTGGCCACCTTAGGACTGTAGCATTAGCAAGCCCATTAGATTCTTAACTCAACCCCTCCTGTAGCTTTATCAGCAAAAGGTGGTATTTTCATCTCTCATTCATTCTTACGTTACTCATTTGGTTTTAAACTTGGGTGGATACCACCTCACATGCGCTAGAATGGCTGTAACTAAGAAGACAGATATCAATAAGTGCTATTGAGATTGTGGAGGAGTTGGAACCCTTACACAAAACAGTTGGGCAGTTGCTCAAAAAGTTTAGCACAGGGCCGGGGATGTGGCTCAGTAGTAGAGTTCTTGCCTTGCATGCACATGGTCTTCGGTTTGATCCCCAGTACCATAGAAACAAAAACAAAAAGCAAAACAAAACAAAAAAAGTTGAGCACAGAGTTACCATATGACTCAGCAGTTTCACTCCTAGGTGTATATCCAAGGCACTGACTATACCAGTCAGTGTTTATTTAGAAATAGATATGACACAAGCTATACACATGTGTACGAATCTACAGGATTGGCTTATAGTGGCCACCCACAGAGTCAAATGAGGAAGTGTACAGAGGGTGTCTGCACACTGGAGACTGAAGGATCCAGCCTGAGATCTGGAGCTCACTGCAGTGTCCTGAGTGAATCTGTATCAGGGAGCCAATGGGTCTGCGATGGAAGGCTGAAGTATATGTGCTTGAAGCCAGGAGATGATGTCCAAGGTGAAGGCAAAGACTGGAATGACTCTGCAGAAACCGAAGCAGATCTGTCCTTCTTCATTTCCTTTTTATACCATCCGGACAACAGCCATGCTAGGGTGTGGAATTGCTGAGCTGATTTAGTTAAACTTCTCTTAACTAAACTTCTCAAATGGATGCAATCAACCATCACAATGATAACTTTATGTCTATGCAGAAACTTGTATATATAACAGCATTTTTCTCAGTAGTCCCAAAGTGCAAACAATGGAATTATCTATTCACGGATGAATGAAGGGATGTGGCATCTCTACATGGTGGAATACTATTCAGCCCTAAGAAGCATTGAAACACTGACACATGCTCCAGCATAAACAACTCCTGTAAACATTACGCTTAGTGAAAGAAGCCAGGTACAAAGGACCACATAGTCTCTGATTCCTTTTCTTTGAAATCTCCAGAATAGGCAAAGCTGTAGAGAGTGAGAGAAGACTTGTGGTTGCCAGAAGCTAGTGGGGTGGAAGGAAAGAGGAATGGGGAATGAATGCAAGTGGGTACAGGATCTCTTTTGGAGGGTGATGAAAATATTCTGGAATTAGCTAGTGGTGATGGTTGTAGAACTCTGTATATTAAAATATCACTGAATTGCGTATGTTAAAAGGATGACTTCTATAGTTTGTGAATTATATCACAAGAAAATGGAGTACTTTTCAGGTGGGAGATAAAGTTATTAACCACCTTCCTCCACAAGCAAGAGTCCTTCAGACTGGACTTGACACTTAGGCTCATGAATGAGCCATTCCTCTTCAGTCATTAAACATGTCTTCTGGTTTCATCCAAGTTGTTACCACTAGCAGGGTCTCCTTTGTTTCAGCCAAATAATATTTCATTACGTGTGTCTTCAATGAAGTAAGCTAGACACAGAAAGAAAAGCATTTCACGTATATGTAAAATTTAAAAAACAAAACAAAACAAAATGAAACGAAGACTATACAGAGAGACAATAAAACCAGGATT